GCATCTCCGGAGAGAGGGAGGGAGAGGGGCCGGCGGAAACCAATCTAGAGGCCGGGCCGGCCTTATTCCACACGAACACGCCGATGGCCACCAGCACGGCGGAGCGAGCGGACGAGGAGGCGTGCCGGGTGGCGCTGCTGGACGCCGGCGTGAAGAAGGAGGAGTGGCAGGTGGTGGCTGAAGGCCACCAGGGCGGCGGGTGTGGGAGGAGTCGAGGAAGCTGTGCGACATCGTGGCGCCGGCCATCTTCAGCCGCGTCGTCCACCTACAGCTAGCATGAACGTCATCACGCAGGCCTTCGCCGGCCACCTCGGCGACCTCGAGCTCGCCGCCATCTCCATCGCCACCACCGTCGTCGTCGGCTTCAACTTCGGGCTCATGGTACGCACGCTGCCACGCTCCGATCCCTCCCTCGTTTCAATTCCCATCCAAGCTCTCGCTCCGGCCGACCGGCCGGCCGGCCAATCGAGAAGCTCCGAGGGAACGTGTAATTTGGCTCGTCAGTCGTGATAATGCGTCCCGGGCGGTCCTGCTGCAGCTCAACGAATGAATGCGCTTGCGGCTTGCCTTCTCGTAGTTCCTTCAGCCGCACGCTCTAGAACTGTAGGAGGTATTTCTAGATGCGGACGTCATGCCAAGCCGAAGGATGAGTGGTCGACTCCATCTGTGCTACTTGGATTGGGCATCTGCTTGGTAATTTGGGTGATAGATAAGGATCATTTCGCTTCCAGGCAGCGTACAGTACGTGTTGAAATTTTGTTCTCTCCTCTGATTTCTCGAGCGGGTCCAAAGATCAGCTGTCAGCAGAGAAAAAAAAAGAGGAAACACTGATTGGCTGAATCTCAAAACAGTAGTACGTGCTACCAGTACGTTCCAATACCAGTTGCATTCTAAATTGAAGGGACATCGCAAAACTCATTGCATCCCTAATTAATGCAGTGTAATTTTAGGTAGACGAATAGAGTGCTAATGTATTGAAGAGATTAATGCCACTATAAAATTCATATGAATTATATACAGTGGCGGAGCCAGAAGCTTTTATGAGCTTGAGCCATTGTGCCAAAATATTTATCTAATAAATTATAGCATTCTTCTATATAATACAAAGAAAATTTTCTTTCAAACATCGTTGACGATCCCAGTCGGTCGCCTAGGGTTGGCCGGGCGGTGGCTCCGCGCCCCTGGTAGTTGCGGACCCCCAATGCTAACATAGTTTTGTGTCTGTAATTCAGTTTTTCTTCTTTCCTGTCATCTAGTAAAACCGTTCTTTCTAAAAAAGACCATATAAGAATATAGTTTTTTATCTAAAGTTACAGTGACATTTAATAATTGTAATTTAGAAATCGAGAAAGTAAGGCTCTGTTTGGTTACCCCTTCTAAAAACTTTAGAGCTAAAATCTAGATAAAATTTGCCTAAAGAACCAAACACCCCCTCCTAAAAGCTCCTAAAAACTTTAGAAAGGGCTAAAAACTTTAGGAGCTCCGCCCCCTCCTAAAACCTACTAAAGTCCTTCCTGGACCTCCACTATCCCTCATTTATTGCCCCCTCCCTCTCTCTCTCCCCCACCCTCCCTCATTCCCGCGCCTCCATCCTGCGCCCCCTTCTCCCTCCATCCTGGCGGCGGCAGGCCTCTTGCAGCCCCTACCCTCCACCGACAGCGGCGGCACCCCTTCCCGGCGGCTCCTCACCCTCGGCCAGCGGCGGGCCCTCTCCCCCATGGATCTCAAGCACGGGAAGCAGGTGGCGGCGTTCCCTCCCTCGGCGCATCCGGCCATGATGGCCCTCCCCAATCCCATTGATGCGGTGGTGATGGGCCCCCTCCGGTGTCCCCCGACGGCGCGCTGCTCCCTCCCTCCACGCCGGCGCCCGCGCCATCCCCCGCCGGATCCGCCGCCCCCGCTCCCTCGCGCCGCCGCACAGGCCGGCCGCGACGCCCCCGCTTCTCTTCGGCGCGGCTGCTCCCCCAATCCGGCCGCTGCTCGATCCGCCATCGACGGCGGCTTCCGCGACCAAGAACCGCTTCTGGGTGGGCATTAGGGCGGCCGCGAGCGGGGTCGCGTGGAGCGGCGGTGAGGTGGAGAGGCCGGGCGGGGCTCGCGTGCGTGGACCTGCGGGCGGGTGTTGCTGCGCTAGGGGCGGGGATGGTTGGCACGGGGGTCTCACTCGGCGACCACGGAGCAAAGAGGAGAAGCGGCGCTAGCGAAGAAGAGCTTTTTGCTCGTAGGGGTATCAGGGGTAGGAGGAAGAAGGGTAAAAGTGTCTTTGTTCAACAATATTTATTGCTTTTAGTTAATTTTAGGAGGTGCAACCAAATACTCTTTTTAGAGGTTTTAGGAGGTTGCCTAAGGAACTAAAGTTTTAGAGCTCGGAAGCAAACAGGGCCAGAGGTGTATTTATTTTGTCTAGAGGAGTACTGCTATACTAGCATCGTGGATCGAGTACTCGAGTGGCCAACAGCTCCTCTTGGGAATTTTGCATCAATTACAGTCATGATTCACCGCTCGCGGCCTGGATTTGTCCGACAAAATGCTGATTTGTCGTTACTCATCATTATCATCTCACTAGGACAAAATTTTGCCATCATGAAATTTGTTACTACTACTCCGCACTCTAGAATAAGGTTGTGGCGTTGTGCCATGCCCATGCGAGGGGTGACTAGCTTGGATTGGTACAGCTAACTTGTTCGAACGGCAGATCTAGGGTACGTTGCCATGCTCCATATATAATCAGGGAGTAGGGGTATTCGACGGACAAGGACCACGGCACAAGTTCCATGCAAACTGTACAGCAGAAACAGAAAAAGTATGCCCCTACTGAATTCTAGCGCAACGGAAAATTGATTTGTGTGCGATTGGCCTGGATCGGTCCCCAACCACGGACAAGGAATAATCAGCATGTTCGCTTGATTGGTTTCAATCAGTCCAAACTAACTAGCTAACAGTGTTTTTCTTTCACAATAAACCAGCATCAGTCAGTCCAAACCAGCCCAAAAACCAAATAGCGAACAGGCCGAATGAAAGCTAAGCCACCTCCGTCTGCATGCAGAGTCCACCAGTGATCCAGCCTCACCAGTCACCACGGACAGAGGAAAGATGAAATCTGCTGCTGCATTGCGTGCCTATCGACGTCTCAGGGCAGGGACCAGGGAGTGTCTTCTTGCACCCACCACCTTCGATCCGGATCCTCTGTTCCTCTCCACCCCCACTTGTTGAATTCCACGTCCAGTGCGTTTGTTTCGTTCACACCTTGGCTTCTTCTGTCACGTCCGAATGAATACCGATTCCAATTCCAATCTTGTCCACTTTTCCATTCTCACATCGACTGCATTAACATTATTCCCTTCGTTCTGCTGCTAACCCTAGAACCTCCACCATACCGATCATCTTCTTCAGCTCCGTGAATCGAAGACGGCCAAGCGACTTGGTGAGGACGTCCGCGAGTTGTCGACGAGTTTTGACGAGTTCGATGACGATCTGCCCTCCATCGACACAGTCCCTAAGGAAGTGGAACTTGATGTCGATGTGTTTGCTCCGGTCATGAAGAACCGGATTCTTCACGAGAGCGATGGCGGGCTGGTTGTCCACCATCAATGCTGGTGGGTGAGTTTCTACACAGGTCAGCTCGCCCAGCAGCCGGTGCAGGCACACAGCTTGGCACGCCTCTGTGGACGCCGCCACGTACTCTGCCTCGCACGTGGACAGCGCCACTACCTTCTGTTTCAGCGACACTTATGAGATTAGAGCCGTCTTGAGGAAGACGAGCACGCCAGAGGTGCTCCACCGTCCGTCGATGTTCTCCGCCATGTCTGCATCGCTGAACACAGTGAGCCACAGCCCACTTTCGCCGGTCTTGGGGAAGACAGTCCCCTGATCCATCGTCTTCTTGACGTAGCGCAGCAGCCGCTTCACCGTGGTCCAGTGATCCTCTCGGGGATTCTCCATGAAGCGGCTGAAGTAGTCCACGACGAACGTAAATATCCGGTCTCGTGTGGATTAGGTAGCGCAAACCGTCGACGATGCTCTGATAGAGTGTTACATCTACCCTTGCCGTGGTACTGTCATTTGTCATCTTCAGCCGCTCCTCCATCGAAGTCATGCACGACTTGCACTCAGTCGTACCGCTCCGCTCCAACAATTTCGAGACGTGCATGCTCTGATCTAGCATGAGCGTCTTCTTTTCTTGTCTCACCTCGATACAAGGTAGTAGGAGAGCGCACCTGAGCTCGGAATAAAAAGTCGCCTCTGACCTGACCTTCTCGCATACGACCATGGCGGCCATTGTTTTTGACGGAATACATTCTCCGACCAGTTATCTTTGACCACCGGGCACCGGCCAGAAAAGAAAAGAAAGAAACAGGTCCAGCAACCGGCGGTGTTGTTTTTCGCAGTCGTCCTATCTCGTGCCTGCTCTGGAGTCTATTGTACAACTTCATGTCACAGCTGGAGGCAATTAAGGACTTCCAAATAATTTATTATGATGTACTTGCGGCCACGGTTACTTACAGTGACCAAATCTAGCTACTGTTAATGACCTACTCGTAGAGAATAATCACTTGCTAAAATAATCTTAATTTTTTTTAGGCATTCATATGCAGATCACAAAAGTTATTATGTACAATAGCACCAAGATGAAAGCATCCGACATGCTGAATCCAGTAGGAACGGTGCAGCTCCTTACTCTCTCTTCCTTCTGAAAAGAATGGAATTCTAGTATAGCACAATTCAATGATCATCGACACGCGAAAGTAAATGTAATTTAAATCCAAAGTGTAAAGTTTTGGTGTCATATCAATGTCACGTGAGGATGTCGTATGGAATGTTCGGATACTAGTAAAAAAATAAATTACAGAATTTATCAATAATCCGTGAAACAAATTTATTAAGCCTAATTAATTCGTCATTATCACGTGTTACGGTAGCACCACTTTATATATGTGTCAACCATTGAATGGAATATAGAGTAAATTTTAGGAGAAGAACTAGATAAGGCCTAAAATCGATCAGACCTGGTTTAACGCGTCATGGTTAGGTTTCTCCTTGTCCTCCGTAGCAGCCCCTGACCCGCTGGGACTTTCTGCCGGTGTTCCAGTGATCGGGACGACGCGCTTGCTGCTCCCGCCGTGCTCGTCGACGACGGCGTCCGGATCCGTCCGGCTGGGCCGCTGCCACGACACGGACCGCCAGAACGAGGCCAGCCATCCGGGCGTCCGCTCCACGCCGCCGTCGGGGTAACCAGCGAGGCTGGCGGCCCGCCGGTGCCTGCGGACCGCGGCGAGCTCCTTCATGACGTGCTCCGGCAGCCGCAGCGTGTGCCGGTCCGGCACGTCCATGGCAGACTGCGTCCGCCGGTAGTGGAACTCGTGGGGCCGCGCCGCGCCGAAGCTGATGACGGACTCGGGCGTAAAAGCGGCGACGAGGCGCGCCTCGTCGCGCTCCTCGTCGTCCGTCTCTTCTCGCGCCGCCTCCTGGCGCGCCGCCGTCAGGTCGCAGCCCTCGGAGGAGGAAGCTGGAGGAGTGTAAGGCGCGGTGACGGTGAGGTCGGCGCGGCAGAGCGGGCACGTGACGGCGCCGGCGAGCCAGGGGTCGATGCAGTCCGGGTGGAAGACGTGGCAGCAGGCGGGGAGCACCCGGAGCTCGTCGCGGTCCTCGAACGCGGCGAGGCACACGGCGCACTCGAGCGGCGGGCCCGACTTGGCCGCCACGCGCGCCTTCACGTCGCCGTACACCGCGGTGGGGAACGACTCGACCACCTCCCTGTCGAGCCCGGCGCCGCGTGCGCGGCGCTCCGGGTGGACGACGGCGTGATGATGATCCGGCGGAGCGTAACGGGACGGCGGCCGCCGCGGCGGGGGAGCGCGGGTCGGCGCGCAGCGGTTGATGTAGATGGAGAAGAGGGTGAGGATGACGAAGGCGGAGATGAGGGCCACGAGCACGATCACCGTGGTGGGCGTGAACCCGCCGACGGCGGGTCGGGAGTGGTGGGTGATCGTGGTGTTGCTCGACTGAGCCTGAGACGGTCGCGCCGCGGTGGATAGAAGCAGGAGGAACAGGACGACCAGCGGTGGCGCGATACGCCGGCAGGCCATTGCCACCTCCGTGCTCCGGCGAGGGGCGACCGGACGCCGGAGAGATCTTTTGGCCTTGTCTGTGGGGAATAGGAAGAGAGAGAGGTTTTGAAGGAACCGGAAGTGTAATTACGCGGGCGGGCGCGCAATGTAACGCACGAGACGCGAGATAGGGACGCCCACGCCCACGCCGCGCGTGTTGCGTGGGCGGGCGGGGCCGCCCTGTCAGTGGCTGTCGGTGAGACGAGCGGGGCGGCAGAGGGAGAGGGATCACGGCCGCGTGGCGGTGCGCTGACTCGCGCGTGCCGGAGTCCTCTGGCCCGGTCAGGATTCAGGACACGCGACACGACCACACGAGGCTCCGGCGTGCAACCATGCGGTGGTGGTGGCCTGCTGCTGATGAATGCTCTTTGCTCTCCAATCTGCACCCGAGATTCGTGCCTGCAATTTTGTCCGAACTGCTTGTCTACATAATAATTCTCTTGTTTAATGGGTCAACTCGCCGGTGACGTACTATAGTGCCGCATGATTTCAGATGATGCCCATGAAAGAACGAATGAGGCTGTGGTTTGTTGACGATTTGATAATGCGTTTGCTTACGGAGATCGATCACCCTCCGAGTAGGAAAAAAAACTAAAAAATAGTGCCGAGTCTCATCATCGAGTGCTCCTAAACATACATATCCCCTCGGTGGCACAGGTAGCGCAGCTGCAGCCTACAGACCACTTCGCACCACCGTCCGCGCCTCTGCGGACGATGCGAACACGCTTGTGAAGGAACCAATAAAACCAGAGCTGCTGTTGCAATCGACGGAACCTTTTTCTACTCGTTTCCACCGCCACTTCAACGACGAACTGAACTTCTGACCGAATGGCTCACAGGGCAGCGATTGGACGGCGAGCGTTGCTTGATTCATCTGGGATCAGATCACTTTCCGACCACCAGCCGGCCGCCTAGCTGCGCCATGCGTGTTCTGAATCGCTGTTGCTGTCGCGGTGTCAGACTGTCTCCAACGACTCATGCAAAGGGCGACGCATATCTAAAATCGGTCATGCACAGTGTTTTTTCTGGTTCCAACAGAAGACGCAGTCGGAGCAGGCATTTTGGGGACGAGGCCGACCGGGAGGCATATTTGCGTCGTCCTTCTCAAGACGCAAAGTCTTCCGCGGCAGCCACATCTGCCTCTCCTCTCTTTCCCTTCTCTCGGCGACGGTGGCAGCGGCTAGGGCAAGGCAGCCCACCGGCGAGGGAGGCCCCCGGCGCGGTCGCCCAGAGGGACCCAGGCATGGCAGCGTGGGGTGAGTGCCCTCCCCCGGCTCAGCGGCGCGGGTGCCCCCCGGCGCGCCCCTGCGCGTGGGCCCCGTCCGCGAGCGTGGCGCGGCTGCGGGGCGAAAGCGCTCCCCGGCACAGCAGCGCTCCGGCGTGGGCACAGCGGCGCACTGCGTGGGCGAGACTCCGCGGCGACCGCTCCGGCGAATATGCGGTCTGCTTCACGACTCCCGACTCCCATCCCTCTCTGTCTCACAGGGCCAGGTACCGCGACGGCGGCGAGGCGGGCCCGACGACGACGACGGCAGCGAGGCGGGCGGAGCTCGCCGGGGAGGGAAGTGGGCGGAGCTTGGCGGGGAGGGAGGCAGGCGGCGCTCGCCGGATCTGCGCGCAGGGAGGGAGGGAGGTCGTGCAGGGGAGGGAGCTCGCCGGCGATGCGGGCCCGACGACGACAGCGAGGCGGGGTGGGAGGCGCGCTGTTGGAGAAGGAATGTTTTTGGGAGGTGACCTATTTACTGTGCAGAACTTAAATCCAGGTATAGATCGTTAATTTAGATATCGGTTGTTGGAGATAGTCTCACTTGCAGGTACGAGTCTGTATCCTTAGTCCTTAAGCTCACTCGAGCTAAAGTTAAGGAAGCAACGCATCTCGATTTGGGAAGCAAAAGGATTTCTGAACCAGCTGAGGCCTGTTTGGGTGTTATCGTTTTCAACTCAATCCACGTGGGTTGAGTAGATTGGGGTAAAATTTAGTTCAAATTATACTCCAATCCACCCCAACTCACGTAGATTGATACGAATCCTACCACACCAAAACAAGGCCTAAACACGTCGTGAACCCGTCCAGCTGCGACTGCGATGGTTGGTTGCACTGTGCCAGTGTGAAATCCAAAATCCAGTTTTGCCAACCACCACTCCGAGGGCTGTTCAAGTCATTTTTAATGATCGTACTCATGATGATTTGAATCGTTCAACGTCCCATCTCGCTAAATAATGTGTTAGATCTCTTTCTCATTTTACTTCATTTTTTGTGTGCCGTAGTCAATATGAATTCCCATTGCGTACCTGACGCTATGCAACGAGCCTCTGCTCATGATTTATGTAGCAATATGTAATTTATTATATACGGCTGCAACTTGATAACGATTTCGAAACATCGGCCTGTTCGTTTGGCTGTGGCTTGTCGTAAATGATCGTAAATTTTTAGCTGAAATAGTATTTTTTTCTCACACAAATCAGCCAGCAATATTTCTTTACGAACCAGCAACAAAACGAACCAGCCAACCGAACAGGCTGCGATGTATGGACGGCTCTGACTTCCTCCGCTGTTCCCTGGAGTGTCTTACTGGGCTGCCATGTTTGGGCTTTTCACGCGGACACGATGCTGTTTTTCGTTATTGAAGAACCGGGCCAGGGTTTTTATTTAGAGGAAAACCAAGTCTGGGCCATAATAAGTAGTAAAGCGATCCATTTCGCGGCGTAGCCCAGTACAGCCTCAAGAGTCAAGTCTTCACGTTCGATGGAAACGAGCATCTTCAATTTGGCACGCACATGCCAAAGGCAAACATCGCTTCTTCGGTTGGCTTCTAGTACTGGCAAAAATCCTTACAGCAGATAACCTATCATTATAGAATGAGATATTTATCTATATATCCTCAGAAAAAATACGTCTTCCTCTCATGACTCTTTTTTTTAAAAAAAAAACTTATCTGACACGCTTAAAAATAAAAATTTCTTTATTCTACGGCCTTAACGTGAAGAGATGCAGAAGAAGACCGAAGTTGACTTAGATAGAGGTAATAAAATGAGACTTGAAAAGATGAAATATATCCAAAGACTTAGCCTTAGATATGAGTGCTTGGAAAACAGCTATTCACGTGCCTGAACCTTGATTGCTTCTGTTGGGTTTTAACTCTAGCCTACCCAACTTGTTTGAGACTTAAAGGCTTTATCGTTGTTGTACGGCCTTCTGTCTGTTAGGGTCTAGCTTCAGTTGGGCCACTGTTTGGTACGCGAAATAACTAAAATGCTCTTCCCTCTTAGACTGTCTCCAACAGAGCATGCAAACCGTAACCCAAACGCAAAATAGGCTATTCACAGTGTTTTGCCTACCAAAATCAAAGCTCCAACAGAAGACCCAAACATCTCACCCATTTTGCATACGAGACTTGACGAAACGCAAATCTGCGTCGTCGAGAGACCGACGCAAATTTGTGACCGCGACCTTCGTCCCCTCCCCATGGCGCCCCATCCCCAACTGCATGCACGGCGTTGCTCCTCCAGTGCCAGTGGCGGCGCGCCCTCCACCCTCCCCAACGGTAGCGCCCCTCCTCACCCCGGCGCGCCCCCACCAGCGGCGCAGACTACGGCGGAGGCTGTGGCCCGTGCGGCACGCGGGAGCGAGCTTGGCACCTGTGGTGACGACTTGTGGGCGAGCGCGGCCAACCGAGACGACGGCAAGGCGCAAGCAGCGGCGCGCGGTGGAGGAGCTCACGCCGCCGGGGGTGGGAGAGGACGGGCCGTCGGTGTTGGAGGAGGACCCGCCGGGGGTGGGGGAGGGTATGTGCGCCTGCATCCTCCACCATGCTCCATGGATCCGCGACGGCACCCGGCGTCAGCGCGGCCAGATGGGCCCCCGCGTTCGCTCTTCCTCCCCGCGTGCGGAACAGAGGGCGACGGCCCGGCCATGGGAACGGGCGGCGCGGGGGAGAGAGTGAGGAGAGAGGAACGGGCTTTTGGGTAGGCTGTTGGAGAATACGAGTTTTGGGTACATTTTTTTTTTCCTGTGCGTGACCCAAGCTATAAAATGGGTCTCCGATTTGGGCTTACTTCTCCTTTCTTCCTTTATTCTACCGCATCGGCCACGACTCTGGTGGAGAGAGAAAAAAGCATGAACTCAGGGCGGGCGGCGCCGACGACGGGATCTCCGGCCAAAGGCCGTCGTCGGCCTCTCTATCGCCAGATCCGTCGGATCCACGGCCGTCCGGCCCCCCTTCCACCCTTGGCTGGCGAGGTACGCGTGGGAGAGGCGCCGCGGCCTGCCTGGTCGAGCGCGCGCGACCGGGACTCCGGCGCGGCCTCCCCCTCCTGCAGCCTGGCAATGGCGGCTCCGGCCGGCCCCTCCCGCGACATCACTTCACTAGGCTTCAGGCAGCCGCACGGTCCCGGCACAGGTGCAGGCTTCGTGCTCCAGCTGACCGGATTCACTGTGCATAATTTTGAGCTATTAAACGTATGAATCTGATAGGATGATATTGTTGAATTAATTAGCAGATCAGCAAGTATTGAAATTGATCCGTTGTTCTAGGCTACTGAATGGACAATGTTCAGAATTAGCGGGTCCTGACATAGTTACGGAAGGAAGTGAATGGACGTTATTCAGTTTCTGGAAATAAAATTGGATCTTCGGACCTTTGCTTTGAGATAAGTTTCAGAGAAAAAACCTTTGCTTAAGAGAGAAAATTCAGATTAGAGCACGACAAGCTATCAGAAGCAGTTTTTTTTTAAACAATAGCTATCAGAAGCAGTGAGTCACTTCCCTACAGAACTGTGTGATGAACCATTACAAGTCCTTGCCTTGATGGATTTTGGGTGGAACCTTTTAGTTCCCTTTTCTACATCTTCTTATTCTGTGTGATGAGCCATCTTCCTTATTATAATTTTGAACTTTTGATATTGTGTGATGTTACTCAGTAGGGTGGTTGTTTATTCTTGTTCTGATGTTGGCAAAGGATAATTTGACTTTCTGTTGT